CAACCAGAGTGCTTTGATTCTGGGATTTCTCCAGCCTTCTCTTGGTCATAATCCTTAGGGTATGCCAGTACACCGAAAGCACCCCACCTCCAACCCCAAGATCTTCAGGCACCCTCTTGAGGATTGCAAAGGGCTTGGTGCAAAGAATGGGGCCACAGAAATGCTACTTTTGGGTAGAAGCAGGGTTTGGGGAACAATGTCTTGGTGACCTCTCAGTACCCTGTGGAACTCTCAGCATGCCTGCCAGATGATTCTCAGAGTCATAAGTGGCCTTTAAAACAGTCTGGTCCACCATCCGCATTTTACACATGAGAAAACAGGCCAGGAGAGGTGTGTTTTTGGTTCCTGAGCCAAACGAGGGTGGTGGTGGACAATCCATGTATGTGAAGACTTGAGATTTCAGGGGAGGGGGATATTACTGTTAAATTGTCGTGTTGACATGAATTGCAGATCTGCTTACAAACTTTAATATGAATCCTTAGACCCACCTTGAAAGGCAAATGTTATTGTCCCCCTTTTTGCAGCTCAGGCAAATTAAGTTCATTCAACCCATAAATTAACCCCAGCAACTGTCCTGTGCTCTGGATTACTGCAGGGAACAAGAAAAACTTGATCCACACTCTCAGGGTTTACATTTTTCTGAGCAATTAGAGAGTTTTTTAATCAGGAGAGCGATGAGTGATGAATTCTCCTTGAAAAGGCTGGGGACCTAGTAGAAAATGGATAGGAGAGCAAGAGAGGAAGCCAAGAGACCATTTATGGTGTCATGGCCCTCATCCAGGTGAGAGATGATGGCAACGTGGACGAGAGCGGGTGAAGGACGTGCCCCCAGGCAGAGAGTCCCCCAAGACCCCTGGACACCCAGCTCTCTGCTGTAACCATAGGTGCTTTGGGCATCTGTACTGGAGAAAGGGAGCCTTCTCTTGTGGCCGGCTTGCCTCTGAGGTTCTCTAGAGCAAGTCCACGGGGGAGAGTCTGCCCCTCTGTGGGACCCCTTTCCTTGGTGACTCCAAGGACGTCCGTGGATCTCAGACCATGGGCCTGTAGAATCGTGACTGCATCTTCAGCAGAAAGCATAAAAGAGAGGAGCCAGTCAGAGACAGAGTAAACTCAACTGTCTTGAGTACCTATGACCCACTAGGCTGTTGACATCTAATTCCCAGCACAACCCTGCAGTGAGGAGACATCCCTGTCCCCATTCCACAAATAAGGAAACTGAGGCTCCGAGCGTGTTTGTAAGTTTTGCCCTGTTACACAAGTACATAGGACAGAGCAGTAGTTTGGACCCAAGCTTTATATTCCAAAGCCCAAGCTCAATGCCAGCTCCATGAACAAAACATATGTCTTTACTATCTATTATGGTGCACATGGCAGACATTACTAATCTATCACAGCTCTTTTTCCCTCGAAGCCTTAAAGAGGCCATAAAATCTTTCAGCTCACTGCTCCAAATAGTCAGTGCCCTTTCATTAGCACTGGCATGTGAGGTGACATTTGTTTGCCATGCCAACACTGCACAGAACCCAGCAAAGTAGCTTCTCCCCTTAATTTGGGTCTTCTAGCTCCTGGCCTAGAGGCAGTATGAGAAAATCCATGGAGTAAGTGAGTTCTAGACCTGTCTCTCTGTGACACTGAGCACCAACAGCACAGTCATCATCATCATCATCATCATCAGTAGTAACTTTGTGCCAAACACAGCATGCAACTTAACTCATTTAACCCTATAAGAAGCCAAGAGGCAGGAACAATTACTGTCCTGCATTTTACAGGTGGGGAAACTGAGGCAGGCCACTAGAATGTACGGAGAAGAAATTCATCTTGGTCTTGTTCACCATTCATCACTAGCACGCATGCATAGTGCCTGGCACATCACAGGGGTGCCATAATACCTATTAAGTGAATGAATGAAGCAAACAGGTTAAATGACAAACTTGGGGTCACACAGCCTGTAGCAGGTAGGACACACAGCCCCGTATGATCAGAGCACGTCATTACTCCATACGCCCTTCTCTGGTCCTCTCTCCCCATCTACAAAAGAAGAGGGCCAACTTTATAATTCTCTGTTTTATCTTTATTTTTTCTATTGAGGTAAAGATAACAAAATTAGCCATAAATTTTGTTGGATAGAAGGAGAGCCATTTTATTTATTTATTTAATTTTTGATGATACATATTTATGGAGTATGAAGTTGACTATTTGTCTACAGTATGCGGATGTGATGATCAGTGATCAGATCAATATTATTAACATGTTCATCATTACAAATCATAATTACTCTTTGTGTCCCTTACCCAATTACTCCCTAAACCTCTCCCCTCCCCCTTTCCCACCTCTAGTAACTATGAGTCTGTTCTCTCCTCTCTGTCTGTTCAGCATTTTATTGTGGTCTTCCTTCCTTCCTTCCTTCCCTCCCTTCCTTCCTTCCTTCCTTCCTTCCTTCCTTCCTTCCTTCCTTCCTTCCTTTCCATTAACCATTTTAAATGAATAATTAAGTGCCTTTTACTACATTCACAGTGTTGTGCAGCCATCACGACTATCTAGTTCTAGAATTTGTCATGACCCCAAACAAAGGCCCCTGACCCATTAAGCAGTCAGTTCCTATTTCCTCTCCCCCAGCCCCTGGCAACTACTCATCTGTTTTCTGCCTCTGTGAATTTACCTACTCTTAAGGTTTCATACATATGGATTCATACAATATGTGGCCTTTTATATCTGGCTTTTCTGACTCAGCATAATGTCACTGTGCACCTGAATCCTTGACTGTCATATTACACCTCTGAGCATGTGCCTCCCCCCCCACTTTTTTCTTTGGCTTCTGAAGTCTCCTAACATTTGGAGGTGATACATCCCTGGTATCATAACCCCTACCAGAATTAATCTCTTCCTGTTCCCATAGCACTTGCTCATATCAGTAAAGTAGTCATGTTTCCATTCTGTCTTGTACAGGATTTGTTGTTGACAGTGAAATAGGATATGTTTATATATATGTAGTATATATTTACAGGACAAGTATACGTATACATTTATGTATGTATTTTGCTCGGTTATTTTCAGAACATATTGACGTGTTAGATAAAGCAGCCTAGTACATTAAATTCTCCCATTTTTTCCCCTCACAGTCCTCTGCCACTAAATTATGAGCTTCAGAAAGAGAGCAGCGTTTTATCCATCTTAGTTTCTCCTGTACCTAAATGATACAGTGCCTTTCCTATAACAGGTGCCTAATTGACTTTTGTTGATTGTATTAGTGGGCGAGAGAGAGTGAATGAAAGACACTAACTTCCCCGATTGTTTGAAATATATTGTGCTAAGAATTAATGTCTGACAGAGATCAGGTTTTGTTAGAAGGTCAATTTCAACTGCAGGCCACCGAAATGTCACCGACGTGTATTTTCCCCCGTGTGACATTTTGTAATTGAAAGTGTGTGGGTGTGGCTCTCACTTCTGCAGAGTATTCAAATGTTAATGTGTGAGTTCTCCAAGATTCTTGAATTTTCAAAAACACGTTTAATGGAAATTGAATTGTGTGATGTCCCACTGCTCCTGTTTGAGACAAATGGTTTTAAGCAAGAGGGAGCAACTGCTCTTTCTGCATAGTTACTGTGTTGCTAAATTAACAGGCTTGCACTGAGTTGGATATACTGGAATAGATAAAAAAGAAATCCATTGAGTTATCAAGAAAAGAGTATGGTTAATTCTCAGTTAATTTATGGTCACACTTTCCAAACCCACGTTTTCGCAAAAAAAAATTTCCTCTGGGAAAAAGCAGTAAACTTCGTTCTCTGAACTACATCATTGATTCATCAAGCCCTGTATCTACTACAGCTAGGTGTTTTGTAGTTAGCTTAATTAATTAATATGTTGCAACTAGTAAAAGAAAGGGCTTTGGGATTAGACAGTCCCAGTCAGTTCTAAGACCAAATACCCTAATTCCTCTGAGCTTCCATTTCCTCATCTGAAATGGGGAGATCCCCTACTTTGCTGGATGGTTGAGTACATTGAGGGGGATAATGTACCGTTCAGAACATCTCACCCAGCAACCTCATACCACAGCCGCTTCCACCCAGGAGGAACCAGCTAGAGCGTCTCTCTAGAGCACAGCACAGCCGGTTCTGGGATCCAGATCCCCCATCAGTAGGGAAGAGACACAGTTACAGAAGGAATTGCTGACCCGGAAGCCTTTCTCCTTAGCCCCCTCCTGCAGCACCAAGAGGAAGAGACATTGTTACTCCCAATGTGTGCCCAAGATTGGGGGCTGATCAGTCAGATACTCTAACCATGATATTAGCTGGGACTCTGTTTGCAAGCAACAGGAACCTACTCAAGGAAGTGCAAGCAAGGAAAAAAAAAAAAAGGAGGGGTGTGTGAGAGAGAATCCACACACCTGTGAAATGGCAGCTGAGGACCTTGACTCCCTGGGGCTGTGTAGGGTGACCATCCCAGTTTACCCAGGACTGTTCTGGTTTCAAGATGGAAAGTCACACATCCTAGGAATCAGTCATTTGTCTCACACTGGGACAGTTGGTCATGCCGTGACTGTACAGCTTCCAAAATGGGCCACCATCACTCCACTGGATGGCAAGGACTCCTGGACAGCCTAATGACCGGTATTGCATGTGAGACCAGGGGAGAGAGACCTCCCAGCTGGTCGCCGTGAGGTTTAAGTTGCCATCTGAGTCCTTCCCTCTTGCAGAGCACAGGGTTGTCTCACTTATAGAGGGATCTTGAACCAACTCTGTCCCCTTTCTCTGTTTTCCCACCTGGAAAATGGGCATAATAATTCTACATGGGGTATGGTAAAGGCCAAATGAAATGCATATGAATTAAAGTATGTATTCAGTGTAATATATGATCTGAGTAAAGTGTATATTCAGTGTAAAAGCAAAGGATTTGATGTCAGAAGAACCTTCTCCACTAAGTGGGGAAATGGCAGGAGGGGATACTTGGTCAACAGGAGAGCCGTCTTCATGGCCTAAGTCTGAATTTCTGGTTTCTTTCAGGTTACAGTTAGTGAAGGGGTCTCTCTCTGTTCCTGAAGGAGGGGGCCATGGCCTCCATGCTGCTGGCCCGGCGGCTGGTCTGCAGCTTCCAGGCCAACCACCGCCTGCTCGTGCCCGGTAAGCCCTGGGGGGTCTTGGCAAGAACTGGTCCTAATGGAGACACTATCGGACTAGGGATTCCTGGGCTGTAAGAGTCCTTGATGATAAAGGAACCAGGCAGCTAGTACTTCTGGGGCTGTTCCAGTACCACCCATAAAACTATCACCATCATCACCCTCTTCCTATCTCTCATCTCTGCCATGTGCTCCTGTCCTTGCAGTACAGCTCTTGCATGTGGGAAGGGAGCTGGTCCATCCTGCAGTCACTCTGTCTGCATGTGGGAGTAGCCTCTGCAGCCAGAAGGGCCCAGGCTATCCCCAAAGGGACCACTGGGGAAAACACACAGCTGGGGTTGCTGCCAATGAAAGCCATAAAAATCTCTGTTGTTGACCTAAAAGCCAACTGTGCTTCCAGGGCACTGGACAGGAGACACTATCCCTGGAAAGTCCCCCCCGCCCCCACTTGGCCACCAGCACCAGCTCCTCCTGACCCCTGCCTTGCAGTTTCTCTCATATAGTCCTCTTCTCTCTGCCTCTCTGCCCTGCCCATGATCAGGCAGTGTAGCCAAGTGAGCCTCGCCAGTAAGCGCCCTGCTTCCACGACCACACTGAGACCTCCCTCTCAGTAGTCCCACGAAGCAGGCACCAGTGAATCCCATTTTACAGGTGAGAACACTTGAGGCTCAGAGAAGCAAAGTCATTTGCCCAAGGTCACCCGGCCACTTAAACACGAGTCTGCCTGGCTGCAAACGCTGAGTTAATAGCTCTCCTCTGTGCTCCTCTGTTCGCCTCTGTGCAGCTCTGGGAGAGAGCTTGGCTCCCAAGAGCCTTCCTTTGGACACCCTGGGATTGGCTTCCTGCAGAGACATCACTAGCCCTGGCTCTGGCTTGGCTGTGAAATAGGTTTAGAAAGATCAGTGCACCTCCAGTGTGTCCCCAGTTTCTTCGGAGCCTCTGTGCTTGTCACTATGGTGTCCCTGTAGTGTTGTAGGCCCTGTCTGCCATCTGGAGACAAACTGCTAGCCCTGTCCTGGGTTTGCATGTTGAATGCTACTGTCTATATCCCAAGAGAGGAGGGCTAGCCAGTTAGCTCAGTTGATTAAGACAGCCTTGTAATCCCAAGGTCACTGGTTCCCTGAACCAGCCAGCCGCCAAGAATAAATAAAAATGAAAAAAATCTATTCTGGGGTGGTAAAGAGCAGGAGCATTCACTCCTCTCCCAGGAGTATCAGCAGGCTTTATTTTAAAATAAATGTTTTAGGCTGGCTGGTTAGCTCAGCTGGTTAGAGTATAGCCTTGTCACACCAAGGTCAAGGGTTTGGATCCCCATACCGGCCAGCCGCCAAAAGAGAAAAAAACCCTATAAAATAAATGTTTTATTTTGGAATAATTTTAAATTTATAGAGATGTTGCAAAGATAGTACAGAGAGATCCCACGTGACTCTCTCTAGTTTTCCCCATGGCTAGCATCTTGCGTCACCAGGTTGCTTTTGTCACAATTAAGAATCTGACCTTGGTACATTACTGTTAACCAAACTCCAGACTTCTATTCGGATTTCACCAGTTTTTCCCTTAATGCCTTTTTCTGTCCTGGGATCCAATCCAGGTTCCCACGTTACATTTAATTGTCATGTCTCCTTGGTCTCCTCTGGTCTGAGAAGGTCTCTCAGTCTTTCCTTATTCTTGACCTTGATAATTTTGAGGAGTTATCCATAGGTTTTGAGGTTTTGCTTTTATTTACATACAAGAGAAGCATATTAGTATTTACCCATAACTATGTTAGAATAAAACCAAAACGAGATTGATGCAGGTATGGTGTATTCCAAGCAGGAGAAAAAGTCATTGTCATGGAAGGGTCATTCATTCCATAGCTTATGCTGTTGTGCACCTACTATGTGCCCAATGCTGTGTCAGGTGCTGAGGATGCTCCCGTGAAAAGTGAGATGTGGCTCTGTGGGACTCCAGCCTGGTGGCACACGTGATGCCATCTTTGAAGGTCATCATCAAGGACATTTGAGCCCTCCCAAGGAGACAACATGGAAAGAGCACTCGATAAGACTTGTATGAGCTGGGGCTACGGGCTTCACCACATATCAGCCAAGTGAGCCTAACCAATAGATGGAACTTCTCCTAGCCTCAGTTTTCTTTTTTTTTTGTCTTTTTTCGTGTCCGGCAACGGATCGCAACCCTCAGTGTCGCGCCCGTACCGGACCGGGACCGGCAACGGGATCGCAACCCTCGGTGTTGCACCCACACCTCGCTCAGCCAGTGAGCGGGAACCAGTCTGTATGTGGGATCCGAACCCTCGGCGGGAGCGCCGCCGCGCTCCCAAGCAGCGCACTGTAGCAGTGCGCCACCGGGCCGGCCCCTAGCCTCAGTTTTCTCATAAGGAAAGTGAGGATAGTAATAATATCCTTCCTATTTTGCAGATTTCTTCCATCAGAAGAAATGGTTCATGTGAGAGCATTTCATTTATATTTGCAATAAGATGGGAAGTGTCCTAATTCCCCCCTTTATTTCCTTATTATTATTATTATTATTATTATTTTTTTATTTTTATTTTTTGGCAGCTAGCCAGTTTGGGGATCCAAACCCTCGACCTTGGTGTTATAACACCATGCTCTAACCAACTAAGCTAACCGACCAGGCCTTAATTCCCATTATTCAAGCATGGAAATGGAGACATAATGAAAAAAAAAAAGGAAATTCTTTAGTCACCCTATGTATATACGTATCAAAACTTCAGATTGTACCCCATAAGCATGTACAATTACAATGTGTCAATTAAAATTTTTTTAGAAAGAAAGAAATAACAACAAGGTCATGGGTTTAGATCCTCATACTGGCCAGCCACCAAAAAATAACATAAAATAAATTTTTAAAAAAGTAGTTCCAACGGGTTCAGATCCCCATACTGGCCAACTGCCAAAAAAAAAAAAAAAAAAAAAAAAAGGTAGTTCCAGTAAAATGACATCATCCTTTAAATTAATACTGTGAATTTAAATGTTATAGAGTATACGTTTGCTAGTGTTTCTTATATGTTGCTTTATACCTGTATAAGAGCTATAAGTGGAAGGAGTTATAACTGATCTTATGTTAGCACATAATAAAAGTAATTTAAGTAAAAAAAAAAGGAAATTTCTAAATCACAGAGTTCCTTACCTGTGCATTTTCTTGGCTGGAGTTGGATCTTTGGCACATTTGTGCCAGATTTAGAAAATCATACAGTGACATTTTTTTTTTCTTTTCTTTTGGCCCATCAATTTGGCATTTCTAGTATACTTTATATAGGGGAGTTTTTTGGTTTTTTTTTTAAACACCAAAACACAGTTTTGGGGTTGGCTGGTTAACTCAGTTGGTTAGAGTGCATTGTTGCAACACCAAGGTCAAGTGTTTGGATCCCCATACCGATCAGCCACCAAATATAAGTCAACAAATCAATAAAACATGGTGTTGGCAAAGATACAGGGATATGTGTATTCTCATACACTGCTGATAGGCAAGTAGCAACAGGGGGATGGTTTAAAAATGACAGAAATTACAGCTTCCTTTTAGCCCATCACACCTCCATAAGGTAAAGGAAAGTGAGACTCAGAGAAATTAATTTGCCCAGAGTTACAGGGCTAGCAAATAGCTGAGCCAGTCTGCCTCCAGGACTGGCACCAATCCAGATATTAGTTATCTGCTGCCACATATCAAATACCCCCAAACTTAGTAGCTCAAGAGCATATATGTTTATTGTCTCACAGTTTCTGTGGATCAGGAATCTAGGGGTGGCTTAGCTGCATCCTCTGGCTCAAGTTCTGCTATTAGGGTGTAGTTGAGATGTCAGCTGGGGCTGCGGTCTCATCTGAAGGCTCAGCTTGAGGATCAAAGGATCCACTTCCAAGCTCACATACGTGGCCGTGGCTGGATTCAGTTCCTTGGGGACTGTCAGCCAGAGGCCACTCTCAGTTCCTTGATGCATGGACCTCTTCATAGAGCAATTCACAATGTGGCAGCTGCTTCCCCAGAGCAAGAGAGGGTGCCCCAAATGGAAGCCACAGCCCTCCTGACACACCTGCTGTGCTCAGATGCTTCTCCGTGATGTCTGCACCCATCAGATCACCATGAAGCCATGAAACATGGTGATAGTTAATGGCCTGAGACAGTGTTCCCAATGGCCTTGTTTCATGCCAAACTTTTTTTTTTTAAGTTCATAGTGTTATATCAGTAAATAGGGTGCAGCGACTGGAAGACTAGATGTCAAAGTAGTTATCTCTGGGTAGAAAATTTAAAGTGTTTTCTTTTTTCATGCTGCTTATTGGTATCATCCTCAGTGAGCATCCTATCAAAAAATAAGTGGGCTGAACACTTGCAGGACAAATCAGATTTTTTTTTTTTTAAAGATGACCGGTAAGGGGATCTTAACCCTTGGCTTGGTGTTGTCAGCACCATGCTCAGCCAGTGAGCAAACCGGCCATCCCTATATAGGATCCGAACCCCTGGCCTTGGTGTTATCAGGACCACACTCTCCCGAGTGAGCCATGGGCTGGCCCAGATCAGAGTTGTTTTTTTTTTTTTTTTTCTTAAAAAAAAAGAAAAGCAGAGCAAACAACTCCAGTTGGGACTTGACCTTGACTTTGGCCAGGCTCACATACAGAAGCTTTGCTGTTTGGGAACGACATTAATTTATTACTCTCAGTCTAAAGATCAAGAGGCCATTAAAAACATTTGGTGGCTGCTTTATAGTTTAGAGTTAAAAATGGACTCTTTGGATGATATGGCCACTGATAACCATGAGCATCAGTGTCTGACCCAAAGGTCCAGGCTGGGTGGGCCATTTACCCACTGTATCCAGCCTTGTGTGTCAATGACACCCTCTTGTCTACTTGGGGTGCTATTTTATTCATGAATAAAAGTGCTGGATCATTCAATATTAATTCAAGCTTTTATTTTGTTTCTCTGTGTTTGTGATAATAATTTGCCTTTGGGAAAAGAAGGTTGTTTTGCTGCAAATGTTGTATTTCAAAGGCCAGCACTAGATGAGATCAAAGATAGTATGAGTTACATTCACAATATCTAGGAAAGAGGTTGAATGGGCAAATTTCCAGCTTAACCACTTGCTAGCTATGGGACCTTGGGCAAATGAATTAAATTTTCTGAGCCTCAGTGTCTTCTTCTGTAACACGAGCATAATAACATTTACCTCATAGGGGGTTGCAAGGATTAAATGAGATAATCCATGTAAATTGCTCAGGATAATTCCCGGTATGTTCCCACTAAGTGCTCAATACCCAGTGGACATCTGCTTTTGTGGCCTAATGTAAGAGATCCAAGAAAAGGTATCCTTGACCCTTCAAATTTTGTTCTGTTCTCTTTTGGTATGTGGCATTATATTTCATCATTAAGAGCATATTCATTGTAATGGTATTTGGTTATTTTCCTCTATAAAAAGCCAAAATTGAGATAGAGAAGCAAAAGCAGAAGTTGCACGGACCTGGGTTCCAATCCTGGCTCTGCAACTCATTAGCTGTGTGGCTTTGGGAAAGTCACTTAACCTCTGTGATCCTCATCTGTAAATGGGAACATTACCTTTCTCACAAGCGGGTTGTGGATTAATTAAAACAATAGATGGGAGTTTGCTACCTAGTACATAGTAAGGGCTAAATATGTGTTAATTTCCCCATCTTCCCCTTTCTGATAACACAGTTGCCCACAAACTTACCAGGCTCTGATTTTCAGGGTCTTTGCCCTGCAGTCCTTTACCCTCCACCATCCATCACTCACAAGACTTGGCACATGCTAAGAACTGATGTAGTTCTTGTGACAGACCCAGCTGCCTTGCACATGGCCCTCAGACCTCCTGTCTCGTGCCACGTTGATCCCAGCTCCCAGGGGCCAGTTCTCACCCTCTCTTTACCAGCTCTCTCTACCTCCCAGCTCCTGTTCACTCACAGTCCCGCCATCCCTCCTAACTGCAGCTCCACATGACCCCCCACACTCCCAATCATTTGTCTCAGGATTCACTGGGACCTGCAGCTCCCAGTGTGAACTGCCTTCATTCTTGGTATTTCCACTTTCTTATTCCCAAGATATCTGATTGCTACAATGCACTGTCAAGACATTTTCTGGAGAAAAGAATGGAGAACTTGTGCATCCTCACTTGAGAACAGCTTGCTAATTTCAAATTTTTCATTTCCCCCTTTACTGGACATAAAGAAAGATCACTGGTTAAGAGCCTATTTCTATCAAAATATGCATTCCTAGTTTTATGCAGATCTAGCTGGAATCATTGTTGTCCAGTAAGCCTGAGTTCTGGCCAAGGAAGAGATAAACAGTTTAGTGTACAAAAGTCATCGATATGTTCCATGACCTTTAATTCTCTTCTAATGGAATAAACTCTTTAGAAGCTGGCTGGTTAGCTCAGTTGGTTAGAGCATGACCCTGTAACACCAAGGTCAAGGGTTCAGGTCCCCATACCTGCCAGCTGCCAAAAATAAACCAAAAAAAAAGGAATTCCCCTTTTAAGATCAAACAGAAAATAGAAGTTGTTTTCTTCATTTCTTAAATAAGCGTAGTGCTGTATTTTAACTGGACTTTATGTCAAAAGGCTACATTGTAGTGCGTCATTAATTCAAAAACCTTCATTGATATTCAAAGCAATTATGGGAAATTAATAATGAAGTTAACCATTTTTTAATATCATGGCTTTGTATAGTTCTTTGGTTTGTTTTTTAAATCGTAGACTTTTTTTTTTTTTTTTAGCAGTTTTAGGTTTACAGAAAAATTGAGCAGAAAGTATGGAAAGTCCCTATACACCCCCTCACCCGGACCCTCAGTTTCACCAATTATTAATATCTCATATTAGTGTGGTACATTTGTTATAACTGATGAGCCAATATGGATACATTATTATTACCTAAATTCTATAGCTAACATTGGGGTTTACTCTTGGTATCGTATATTATATGGATTTGGACAAATGTATAGAATGGCTGTATCACCAGTATAATATTATGCTTTGTATATTTTGACAAGCTATTTGTGTGTGTGTTATGTGAGATCTTAACTTCTCTGAGCCTCAGTTTCCTCTCCTGTGTAATGGAGACAAAGTTACATATAAAAAGATGAACTGAGATCATGCATGTCATTTATATAAAGTGTCTACTAATTCCCTAGTTTGATACAATTATCAGTTGAGAGGAACTGACATTTCCCAACCAGCAAACACGTACCAGGAAGGTACAAGATAAGCGGTGACATTAAAGGGATTTTTAGGGGCTACTGGTTGTAAGTCCTTAAACTCTTATCTTGGATTCACTGCAGCTTGTCGTTCACCCTGGGATCGACAAGGCTTAGGCGTGGGGCTACCCTTAGTGTTTCAGCAAGATGCTGAGCTAAACAGCCTTTTGGGAACTCAAAACACCCTCTAGAAGTTTATTGCTATGCAAAAAGTGTCAAATCAGTTTCAAACAAATGACTCGTGACAAAAACTTTTTTTGTTGTTGTTGTTGTTGTTGTTGGCTGGCTGGTTCGGGCATCAAACCCTGGACCTTGGTGTAATCAGAAACACGTTGAAAAAACTTTTCTTTTTTTCCTTAACAAAAAAACATCTGTTATGTGGGGACCACCTGAATTTAGAAATTTGATCATTCCTTCCTGGGTGATTCTGGTCATCACAACTGGGGAAGCGTGTGCTACTGGCATCTTGTGGGTTGAGGCCAGGGATGCTAATAAACATTCTGTAGTGCACAGGACAGCCCCACAACACAGAATTATCTAGCCCAAAATGTCAGTTTGAGAAACTCTGGTCTATGTAGACATTTGGGTATAGATTAAATTTTTACAAGATTTGGATAATTTTTATAATCTGATTTTTCACATGCTAATACAGTAGTCCATAAATATTTGAAATTTCTACCTTGAAACAATTAATGGGTGCATAATATTCCGTGAAATGATTGACCATTTCATATTCTACTAAGCTACCTTCCAGTGTTGGACATTTAGGTTGTTCCTCTTTATTATTGTTATACACAATACTACAATGAATATTTTTGAGCTACTTTTTTTTGCTTTGGCCTCATTATTTTCTTAGGATGAAGAAAGTCCTAAAACAGCAAATTCTCAGTTAAATAAGCATCAGCTTATTGTCACACCAGTAGACAGAAGTATGCCTGTTTGCCTACATCTATGCTGATGCTGGGTTTTCCCATTTTAAAAAAATCTGCAGTGTCCTTGTAGTGGACACAGTGTTCCAGGGTAGTCTGGCTGGGATGGATTGAGGTTCCGGCACCAGCTCTGTTGGGGACATTGAGCTTCTGTTAGGGCAGACTCCTCATTATGTCTGCTGTCATCAGTGATTCTCATCATCTTTGTTTACTGCAGGATCCAGACACATCAGTCAAGCTGCAGCCAAAGTTGATGTTGAATTTGATTATGATGGGCCTCTGATGAAGACAGAAGTCCCAGGACCTAGATCTCGGGTGAGTGAAGCACCCCTGAGTGGTGTGTTTTAGAAAAGAGAAGAAAAGGACATAGCTTGCAAGAACACAGCCAAGCTGAAGGACTGTATTGTTAGCTGCTTTCAGATAGCTCACTACTAGAGATCTGGGATGTTAAACTAGGCTGTTTGGCCGTAACAGGTCAAAGACAGCTTCACAGAGGAGATGTATCTGCTATCCATTGCCACAATAATGCTGCATAACAAATAATCCCCAAAACCTCAGTAGCATACAGCATACAGATTGCATATGCATCTAGGGTTAAATGGAGGTTCGGTAGGCAGCTCACTGGGCTCACCTATATGCCTGGGGGATGGCCAGTTGTCAGGTGATCTAGGGTAGGCTTGTCTTTGGTGACTGCAGTGACTTGACTCTGCTCCATGTGTCTCTCATCCTCCAGCTGGCTAGACTGGGCTTGTTCTTATGGCGATAGCAGAGATGCACAAAAGCAAGAGAGAAGCATGCTGTAGGTCTCTTGAGGCCTGTATTCCACACCAGCTGTCATCACTTCCACCTCATTCTGTTGGCAAAAACAAGTCACATAGCTTGCTTAGAGTCCAGAGGCAAGGGATGGATAGAACTTCCAACCAATAGTGGAAGAATATGGCAATGTTATATGGCACATGGCCTGGATATCAAATGCACTTGAACTTGATCTTGGAGGATAAGGAGGAGGAATTTGACAGAGGACATTCTGTTCTAGGCAAGGAGATGGCATTGTAAACCTTTTTAATGAAGGTTTATGTTTTTCTTTGCATATTTTGCAGATTTTTTTATCTACAGTGTCAGTTTTTTACTGCCAAAAGATACTCCTTTTGTCATTGCACCTATTTTATAAATCCAGAAATCTTTGTACTATTGTAAATGATTTTAGTTATTTTGGATAGTGTTTTGCTAACAAAAGGAGAGACTTTTTTCATGCATATTTCTGTTGAGGGGTGGGTTATAAGTCAGTAGTAGTAAAATACTTGGAATAACTTTGCATACTCTTGTCATTAATTTTATTTTGTATTTTTTTGTGGAAATATGTCATTTTATGACACTAATTGCCAAACTTTATTTTATGTCGAATATTTTTGGAGCTGAAATCTTTGTTATATGAAAGCAACTAGTTTCTAATTCCTAGTATCTATAGAGTTCCACAAGTGGTTTATGGAGTGTTTGGACTGTAATTATAAATGACTCTGATATGCAAATTAATATTTTCAACTTATTTTATTTTATATTTTTAATGGGGTGCTAAAGCTTTTTGGGGGGAGCAGCTGGCTGGTACAGGGATCTGAACCCTCGACCTTGGTGTTACAAGGCAGTGTTCTAACCAACTGAGCTAACCGGCCAGCCCTAAGGCCTTTTTTTTTCCTACATAAAAAAAGAGCCCATGTTTTTATGGACACTAAATGAATACTTTCAGCTTACCTTTTTTTGTTAAGTATTTTAGTTTATTTTATCTTCCAGGGGTCTAACTGTCCAGTCTATCTGTTGTACTGATAATTAAGCTGTGTAATGGAATTGTTTCCTGCCAACTACAGTCATGCATCGCATAATGGTTCAGTCAACAACAGACCACATATACAATAGTTGGTCCCATATGATTACAATGAATCTTAAAAATTTCTATCACCTAGTGACTTCGTAGCTGACATAAAGTCCTAGCCCAATGCATTACTCAAGGAGGAGCAATAGGCTATACCACATAGCCTAGGTGTGTAATAGGCTATATCATCTAGGTTTGTGTAAGCACATTTGATTATGTTAACACAATGACAAAATCGCCTGATATGCATTTCTCAGAATGTATCTCTGTTATTAAGTGACACATGACTGTATTTATATTAACCAACTAAAATATTCATAATATTGTTAACTAACTAATAAACTATTAAGTTATTGGCAAGAGAGAAAAAAAATAAAGCTCCAAGACTTGGGAAGATATGAAAGATTTTTTGATTTTTTTTTTTTTTGCGACTGTCTGGTACAGGGATTGAACCCTGAAGACATGAAAGATTTTAAACTATTTTGGCAAGAGTGTGTCCTTGCTATACATAACATTTTTGTTCTTCTTGCCTGCAGGAGTTAATGAAACAGCTGAATATAATTCAGGTAAGTGTGGATGAGTTAGCATTCCTTCTATTGCCTCTTTATTACAATTTAGCTAAGAGATGGATGCTTCACCTCTGCTCGTTCTTTTAAAAAATGTAGTTGACTTTTGCCCTGAACCTTTTTTCTAATATTTCATGTGATTTCTCCTTTGTCCCATTGGTTATTTATGTGTTGTTTAATTTCCACATTTGTGTATTCCCCAAATTTCTTTCTGATACTGATTTCTAGTTTAATTCCATCGTGGTTGGAAAACATACTTTGTGTAATTTCAATACTTTAAAATTTATTGAGGCTTTTTTAATCACCTGGCATATGGTCTTTCCTGAAGAATGTTCCATATGCAGTAGAAAAGAATGTCTATTCTGCTGTTGTTGGGGGAGTGTTCTATAGATATTTGTTAATCTAGTTGCTTTTAGAGTGTTGTTGAAGTCTTCTATTTCCTCGCTAATCTTCTGCCTAGTTTTCCTACCCATCACTGAATGCCAGGTATTGAAGTCTCCAACTATTACTATAGAACTGTTTTTTTTCTTCAATTCTATTTGTTTTTGCTTTGCGTATTTTAGGGCTCTGTTGTTAGGTGCAAGTATGTTTATAATTGTCATATCTTCTTAGCAGATTGATCCTTTTATCATTATAAAAAGTCTCTATCTCTAGTAATATTTTTTGTTTTATAGTCTATTTTGTCTGATACTGGTATAAGCTCTTCTAACTTTTCTATGGTTGCTGTGTGCAATCAGATATCATTTTCCATCCTTTTACTTTCAACCTATTTGTATTATTGAATCTAAAGTGTGTTTCCTGTAAGCAGCATATAGTTGGTTGTTTTTATCCAGTCTCACATCCTTTACTTTTGACTGGATTGTTTAATCCATTCACAATTAATGTTATTATTGATGTGGTTGTACTTAAGACTGCCATTTTACTTTTCGTTCTCTAGATGTCTTGTGTCTTTTTTGTTCCTCTCTTCCTTTTTTACTGTTTTTTGGTTTTGTTTTTGTTTTGGCATTAAGTGAATGTTTTCTAATGTAATGTTTTCATTTCTTTAATGACTACTATATATCTTTTAGTTTTCTTAGTGGTTGCTCTAAGGCTTACCGTGTCAGAATCTACTTCAGATTTATATCTCAACCTTTTTCATGGTGATATATAAAACCCATACAGAAAAATTTATAAGATACAAAATCACAACTTAATGATCTATTATAAAGCAAACTGCCCATGTTACTATGCCCAGAGCAAAAAATACAACATTGCCAGCACCCACAGATACACCATATGTTCATAGAATGGGCAGGACATGGTTTACTTCATCAATTCAAGCTTAATCCTAAAAGACTAAGAATCTAGGGAGTTGCAATGAACCTGAGTCAGTCTCTTCTTCCCCAAAGAATGCAGAAGCTGTTCATTTTTTCTGCAATTATGAAGAGAGCCGAGGCAATTACCTGGTTGATGTGGATGGCAACCGAATGCTGGATCTTTATTCCCAGATCTCCTCTGTTCCCATAGGTAAGACCTGGCGAATCAGTCCTTGGGTGTAGCCTCTCTCTCTCTTTTCATCATGGCTATCCAGGCTTTATATGCTCCTCCCGGCAGGCACATCCCAGTGTGTTGCAAGACACTTACTTCAAAGGCAGGGAAGGGAAGGAGTGATGTGTAGAGGGTATATTACTAGGTATCTTATATGTCTTTTCTCATTTACTCCTCCCCTAAACCCTACAAGGTAAGTGTGTTAGTCTGTTTCTGTTGCTTATAACAGAATAACTGAAACTGGGTAATTTATAAGAAAACAAAATTTATTTCTTATAGTTCAGAGGCTGGGAAGTCCACATTCTAGAGGGCACATCTGGTGAGGCCCTTTCTCTTGGTGATGACTCTGCAGTGACACAGGGTGTCACATGGCAAATGAGCTGAGCAAAAGAGAGCTAGCCTTCTTACTTGCTGTTCTTTTAAAGCCATCAGAATCACGCCCATCACTCCATGAATGGGTCAGTCCATTCACAAGTCCTCACAATCTAATCAACTCTTAGAGGCCCCACCTTTCAAATACCATAATTGGATTTCCCACCCTCTTTTTAAATTTTATTTATTTTTATAAAATTTTATTTCTTTGGCGCCTGGCCGGTATGGGGATCCAAACTCTTGACCTTGGTGCTGTAACACCGCACTCTATCCACCTTCTTAACACTGTTACAATGGGAGTCAAGTTTCTAGTACATGAACCTTTGGGGGACACATTTGACCCATAGCAGTCAGTATATATTAATATCCCCATTTTGCAGGTAAACAAACAAAGCTTGGAGAGGAATCGTAGCTAGGATGTGAACCCAAGTCTGTGCGACCACAGTGTCCACAACATGGGTGTCTTAGGTTTCCTGAAAGAAGAGCTTCAGGCAGGGATTTTTTTTTTTCTTCCACTATTAAAAAAAGCCCGATAAATACTTTATCTGAAGCCATCAACAACTGACAGTACAAACTGGACCAGTGAGGCAGGGAATCTTGTGCAAATAGTATATTGAGGAAGAGCTCTCAGGAGAAAGGGAAGGGAAAGGGCGCAGGGCAGGGGAAGAAGCTAAAAGTGATGAGATTGTAGAGACTCCACAGCCTGATGCCCCAGGGAACTCTGGAGCATGAATTGTACCCCAGAGTTGGCCCCAGACTGAGGCCAAGGGGCTGGCCTTTTTGTACCCCTGTGCCAGCCAGCCCTTGCTCGTCAGCTGCCTGAGAGGAGGACCTTTGTCCTCCAGCTGCCAGGGGAGGTCCTGGGCAAAGAGGCTCCCATTCACCAAAGGCAGTTTTCCAGAGAAGCAGACAGATGGAGACATTATCAGCCAACACACACAGCAGCTGGGAGGTGGGTGACCTGCCCGGGAAAAGTGACCTCAGTGGGACACCAGCAGCACCTGCCTCCCCATGCTCACCTCCCAGCCACACACAGCATGGCGCACTGCTATAAAAGGGCACCCAGAAATGCAGGTAGCTGCTGTTCGCAATGTGGATGGGTAGTGTTTCTTTGGTTGAAGCCTTCCCGGCTGCATTCAGTTGTCGGTAAGTTGTGTCTGATGAAGCCTGTCCCTTCACAGAGGATGCTGGATGCCACAGAGGAGAAGGGCGCCCCTGCTCCCCAGCAGCAGCTCCCCATCCCCACCCTCTTGGCAGCCTGGGGCCTTTCCCCTGAGACCCAGCCTTGGGTGTCCACTCCTCCTCTATTTCCCACAGCCCATTTCCTCAAACCTATTTCCCATGAACATGCAATTAAACAGTAAGCAGATGACTCATTCTTTTGAGGAAGTCCATCATTCAGGGGTGCTTTAACCTTTGGAGGAATTTCGCATTCAGAAATGAACAACAGCCTGTCTCCGCTATGTGCTGGAGTGAAAGGATGGGCTCTTGAGTTATCCTGGGTTCGAATCCTGGCTCCACCATATACTGGCTGCGGGATGCGACCCACCCCCCAGAGCTCCTGCAGTTTGAATCCCAAGCCAGCCAGCATGTATGAGGGTGAGGGGATCAGGCCAGCAGTGTTTGTTAAAAGACTGGAAGTTCTAAAAGTTCTCTCTGTGGCCCCCTTTTCTCCTGTATCTGCAGTCTTTGAGATGATTTTTTAAAGCTAATATTGAGAATTTACTGTTTGCTTGGTACATTGGTAACTGCTAAGTGCTAATGTTATCTCATTAAATTGCTATGACAAGAGCAATTAACATCGTTTAATATCAGGTCCCATTTACTGACGGGGCCATGACTAAAGAGATGGCAGGGTTGCCCGGCATGTTCAGGGAGTCCAAGGCTGAGCCAGGCTCTGTGTCTCCTAAGCTTATTTCTATGGTAGTATCATCTCTCCTCCAGAAGCCATTAAGACAGGCTGTATCTGGGACTTAATGAGATTTACCCTGAACACACTTATCTACAGAGACAGAAGGGTCATAAACACTCAGGCAATGTGATAAGGAGCTTGAGTTGAAAGACCTCTGGTCAAAAAACTGTTGGAGGGGCTGGCCCGGTGGCGCACTGCTACAGTGCGGCGCTTGGGAAGCGCGGTGGTGCTCCCGCCGAGGGTTCGGATCCCACATACAGACCGGTTCCCGCTCACTGGCTGAGCAAGGTGCGGGGGCAACGCCGAGGGTTGCGATTCCGTTGCCGGTCCCGGTCCGGTACAGGCGCGACACTGAGGGTTGCGATCCGTTGCCGGCCACGAAAAAAGACAAAAAGGAAAAAAAAAAAAAAACTGTTGGAAAAACCCACAGTGTTCCTTCCTTGAATCATGAGCACTTTCCAGCCTCAAGTCTAATGTGCCTTGGAGCGGGTTGGGGGAAAGAGAGGGGAAGAACATGAACCACTGTCTCTCCTTGGTGCCCCAGACCAACTCCCCCATCCATCCTCCAGCAGCAGGCAGAGTGAAGCCATAAGCCTCTTCCAGTCTCTTCCCTTCTTTGATTCTATGGAGGAGAAAGTCTCCCCGGGGTGATGCTGGGTCTTTAATACCTGTCTGAACTTGCTAATCTCTTGTTATAGAAAAGAACAGGCCTCAGGCTCAGAGCATTGGGCAGGAACCGTAAAGATTGTTCCTGCTCCTGCCTCATTCAACCTCTAGCCATTAGTGGTATAAGGTCTCCTTTCAAAGTAAATGTATTTCAACTAAGAAATGAATGGTTTTAAAGAAAATAGATACAAGGTATGTGTCTTAGTCTGTTCTAGGTCTACTAAAACAAAAAAAAACATAAACCGGGTAGCTTATAAACAAGAGAAATTTACTTCTCCCAGTTTTGGAAGCTGGGAAGTCTAAGATTGAGGTGCTGGCAAATTTGGTGTCTGTTGAGGGTCTGCTTTCTGGTTCAAGATGATGCCTTTTCAGTGTGTCCTCACATGGTGGAAGGGGCAAACGGTCTTCCTTGGGCCTCTTTAATAAGGGACCTAATCCCATTCACGAGGGCTCCACCCTTGTGACCTAATCACCTCCCAAAGACCCCACCTCCTAATACCATCACCTTGGATTAGGTTAGGTTAGGATTTCAACACATAAATTTGGGGGGATACAAACATTCAGACAATAGTAGTATTATGATAAAAATTGTGATATTTTAAGACCGGTAGTGGAGGCTGGCTGGTTAGCCCACTTGGTTAGAGCACCACCTTGTAATGCCAATGTCAAGGATTTGGATCCCCCATATGGGCCAGCTGGGGGAAAAAAAAAAAAAAGGAAAGGACTGGTAGTCTCCAAAGTGTACTTCCTGCTCTAAGATTTGTTGATTAGTTTCTTCTCATCCACGATAGTTTTGGATAAGTGATATCACTGATTTCCATATTATTTTGATTTATTCAATTAAAATCTACTGAGATGGGCAATTGGCCACTGTCTTTGAGGGTCTTACAATCTGTTCTCCAGACCTCAATACATCCTTCCTCCTACGAACTTGGCCTTCCTGCCAGAGCTGTTGCCAGGATTAGCAATAGTGAACAGAAAGCCCCCTGCACGTAGTAGCTCCTCAGTAAATGGAAACTTTTCTCGTAAAAGGAGGGAAGATTGAGATAGAACTGTAGCATGGGGCCCAGAATGCCTTGGGTTCCAAGTCTGTCTGTGATAAAGAAGCTAGTCACGTTCCTTAACCTCTCTGCATCTCCTCTTTCTTGTCTGCATCTTTCAGCCGGGGATGCCTGCCACATGGTGCTGCTGGCAGGATTAAGTGAGATCGTGCTTAAGCCTGGCACATAGTTAATGTTTAATAAACAGGAATTATAATCATCATTAGTTACATATGTTTTCTTTCTTTTTTTCATGTTCCTAAAAGGTTATGTGTGAAGTGTGAGGTTTCTGAGAACGTTTATCGCAGTTATTGAACCAGACCAAGCTGTTTTCAATCATTCAACAAACACTGGGCACCCAGCATTTAAGAAGCACCACTCCTGGGGCCGGCCCATGGCTCACTCGGGAGAGTGTGGCGCTGATAACACCAAGGCCACGGGTTCGGATCCCATATAGGGATGGCCGGTTTGCTCACTGGGTGAGCATGGTGCTGACAACACCAAGTCAAGGGTTGAGATCCCCTTACCGGTCATCTTTTAAAAAAAAAAAGAAGAAGAAGAAGCACCACTCCAGCTGGGGTGACAGACAAGTTATATAACAATGCCAAGCAGTACATCTTTTGTTCATTTCGTGTTTGGATTGTTCATTGCAAGTGTACAGAAATACAATTGATTTTTGTGTATTGATCTTGCCTCCTGCAACTTTGCTGAGCTTGTTTGTTAGCATTAAGAGTTTTTTAGTGGATTCCTGAGGATTTTCTATATACAAGATCATTTCATCCATGAATAGAGATAGTTTTACTTCTTCCTTTCCAATCTGGATGCCGTTTCTTTCTTTTTCTTGTCTACTAACCCTGGCTGGACCTTCTAATACTGTGTTGAATAGAAGTGGAGAGTAAATATCCTTGTCGTTCCTGATCTTGGGTAGAAAGCATCCAGTCTTTCACTGCTGAATATGATGTTAGCTGTGGATTTTTTGTAGATGCCCTATATCAGGTTGAGGAAGTGCCCTTCTGTTCCTAAGTTATTGAGTGTTTTTAGTATGACATGGCATTGGATTTTGTCAAATGCTTTTTCTGCAAATACTTTTTCTGCATCTATTGAGATGATCATGTGATTTTTGTTTTTTATTTTATTGATATGATGTATTATATTTAGGCAAGGAAGAGGCAGAAATACTGTATCAGTGGGAGGCAGAGAGGGATGTGGGCTGCAGATCTCGGCATCAGGCTGCATAGAAGGAGGTGGGCCTCCTCTGGGCTTTGAGACGGGAGAATAATTTGGACATACAGAGAGGCAGAGGGAAGTCACTCGAGGCAGGTGGTACAGCGTGAGCATAGTGTGCAGACAGGTGTGCCCATGCAGCACAAGGCCACCCTACTGCCTAGGACAGAGAGCTCATACCAGGGAGTCACGGGCTAGCCCTTTGCTGATGCTCTTTGGCCTCCACAGTGTCCAAAGTAGACCCCAAAGTCCCAGGACAACCTGAACTTTGTCTAGGCACCTTACTCTTCCCCTCTCCCCTTGTTATCACCAGTTCTTTCCAACTTGGCTCTAGGAGAAAGTCCAGTCAAGACCTTGTTGAGGGGGGGCCAGTTAGCTCAGTTGGTTAGAGCATGGTGCTGATAACACCAAGGTCCGAGGTCCAAGGTTCAGCCCCTATACTGGCCAGCCATCGGAAAAACAAAACAAAAAGACCTTGTTGGTCTCAGTAGCAGCCACCGGTGTGCTAACCCTTCAGGGCTCCCCTAGGACCCTTCCCTCTGGTCCTCTGGCCAGTGAGGGCTGGTGTCGCTACAAAGTATTCTGGGGCTTGTGGAGCAGCATCGCCACAGACAGGGGACTCTGTACAAGGCAGAGGTGGGAATGCGCGTTATCTACCATTGCTGGCCCCGGGGGCGATGTTGCCACTTCCCAGGGCTTCACGACACATGAACATGAGGACGCATTCATCAGGGTGAGAGTTGTGATTTTTGGTAACTCAAGTTAAAAAAATGAGGTCAGGCTTTGAGTTCTTTTCTCAAAGAGAGACGTTCCAGCTGCTGTCTTGTGCTCCAAGGTGATGTGAAATTGTCTCCCAGTTCAGACAGGGAGACAACCTGAAGGGCAGGTGCCTTCCAGGAGAGAGAAAATAGCTTACCTTCTTAGGGAATATCAACATGTGATAGATTTGTAGAGAATGTCTTCAAAAGAGCCCTGGAGGGCCGGCCCTGTGGCTCACTCAGGAGAGTGCGGCGCTGGTAGTGCCGAGGCTACGGGTTCGGATCCTATATAGGGATGGCCGGTGCATTCACTGGCTGAGCGTGGTGCGGACCACACCGTGCCGAGGGTTACAACCCCCTTACTGGTCAGAAACAAAAAAAAAAGAGCCCTGGAAGATTATCTTGTTCAAGCCTAACATGACTACAAAGCAAGACTTATGGATTAATTTTTTTTACATTAAAAAAAAATTTTAATGGTGGGAGTGGGCCAGCATCTTTCCTAAGCCTCATCCCCAATTTCCCTCCCAGAAGCAACCATGGTTATTGGTTTCTTCTAGAGAGATATTCAGAGCACTCATCAGCATATTGTGTCCTGTGTCTTTCCTTTTTCACTTAGCAGTAGATCTCAGAGATTCTAACTCAGCACAAATAAATCTCTCTCATCCTTTTCCACAGCTGCATGGTTACATTAGAAGGCTTTCCTCATATGGATGAATCATAATTTATCTCCCTAATTCACTTTTTTTTTTTTTTTTGGTGGCTGGCTGGTACAGGGATCCAAACCCTCAATGACCTTGCTGTTGTCAGCATCATGCTCTAACCAAGAGAGCTAACTGGCCAGCCTCCCTGATCCACTATTCATGGACAGCAGGTTACTTTCATGTCTTGAGATATTAGAGTGTCACAGTTAAGATCCACGTACATATGTCTTTATGCACATTTGTAGGATACATTCATAGAAGAGCAATTTCTGGATCAAAGGGCATACTAAGCCTGGTCATGCAGTGTCAGGCCCCATCTGGATAGTAAATACAGTGGACGCTGGGACTCAGCAAGGGTCTGCAGGCAGGATGAGCATGCGGGTCACAGAGTGCAGGATGCTTCACTCCCTCTGTCCCCAAGCAAACATTTATTGAGCACCAGCCCAGCCAGTGGGCACTGGGGAGAAGGCGAGGACTGTACTTGCAGTTCATCTAACTGGCCTGTCAAACAACTCCCCAGGCCTGGTCTTGAAATTTGCTTCAACCTTGCATTCATCTTCTCTCATGTGTAGCCCAGTAGGTCTCAAACCTGAAGGAGTATCAGAGTCTCCTGGAGAATTTGCTGAAGATTTCCAGGCTACAACCCAAGAGATTTTGAATCAGGGGCCCGTAGTGGGCCCCAAGAATCTCTTATGTTATTTTATTTTTTTACCTTAAGAGAGTCATAGTTACCTAGGAATCTCTTGGTCTGCAAAGGATAAAAGACCCCTTGGCGTGTAAAAGGAGTTGCAGGGTTGGGGTGGGGGAACAAAAGGCAAGGGAGGGGGATGGCAGCCCTTAGGTGCAATGCTGAGCTCTAATAACTGTTCCCTCCTCTTCCCAGGTTACAGCCATCCTGCCCTGGCAAAGCTCGTCCAGCAGTCTCAAAATGTGGTATGTTTCCGGGTTATTCAGAGTAAAGACCAAATGTGTTCATGGCCATTCACAGAATCACTGGGCAGCCTTTGGAAATAGTCCATTCATTCATTCATTCACTCATTCATTCCATAAATATTTATGGAACCCATACTATGCCCTAGGCACTTGGAATGCCTTGGTGAGCAAAAGCACAGAGCCCCATTCCCCTGGAAGCAGTCAATTAACCAAACGCATAAGTGGAGGATTGTAACCATATTAAGTGTCACAGAGTAAGGCAGGCAGTGACGGGTGGGCATAAATTCACAATAATAGTTAACATTTATGAAGAACGTAGTATATACCAAACACTGTGTCCAGCACTTTATGGCCGTCATATTCACACGTCTATGAAGGAGGTACTGTTGTTATCCCCATTTTACAGATGAGGAAACTGAGGCACAGAGAGGTTAAGTATTTGCCCAAGGTCACACAGTCAGTGGAAGTGCAGGTAATAAACCCATAGGAACTGAGCTATTTGTGGATGGAGGGGCCCAGGGTCAGAGAAGATTCCCAGGGAAATGATGTTTGAGTTGAAATCTGAAGGGGGGGCGGGGCTACCAGGTGAGGGGTCAGGGAAGAGAATGGTCCCTGCAGGGAGAAGAGCAGGAGGGAGGGTGGCGGCTTGCTTGAGGATCAAAAGAGGACAGAGGGATCCAGGTAAGACTGGAGTAGCAGCACGGGCACATGGTTTTTAGATACCACCTAGACCAGGGTTTCTCCACCTCAGTGCTGTTGACATTTGGAGCTGGATAATTCTTTGTTGCGGGGAGAGGGAGGCTGTCCTGTGCATTGGAAGATGTTTAGCAGCATCCATGGCCTTTACCCACTAGGGGCAAGTAGCACCCCTCCCTTAGCTGTGATAACCAAAAATGTCTGCAGACATGGCCAAATATCCCCTCGTGGATACAGTCACCCTGGTTGGGAGCCCCTGCAGTAGAAGACGTCAGTCTCTATCCTGAGAGTAGTGGAAATCCATTGCATGGCTATGCTAAAGGTGAACACACCTGCAGAGATATGCACGCATCCTAAACACACCGCTCAGCGAGTTTTCCTACATAACCCGGTGTTCCTCAACTTTTTTTTTTATCATCATCCTTTAAGGAGCCTTTTAGACATTATTTTCCTATTTGTTTCCCCATCGTGAAATTTTTTTTCTTTTAAAGATGACTGGTAAGGGGATTTTAACCCTTGACTTGGTGTTGTCAGCATCAAGTGAGCTAACCAGCCATCCCTATATAGGGATCTGAACCCGTGGCCTTGGTGTTATCAGCACCACACTCTCCCAAGTGAGCCATGGGCCGGCCCTTCCTCTTCTGCTTTTGCTATTCGAGGGTCATGTGGTTGCACTGGGTCCATCTGGAAAATCCAGAATAATCTCACTATTTTAACTGATTAGAAAACTTAATTACGTCTGCAAAGTCCCTTTTACCATGTAACATTTTCACAGTCCCAGGGATGGGATAAGTGTGGCATCTTCTTGGGGACCCTAATGGTGTCTACAACAAACGCACAGATACTCTGCGTATGTATAGTATTGATGTCTGTGCTTTTCATATAACAGAGTAAGATTTGTGTTCACCCCCATTGAAAGCGCTTGGATTGTAATGGGGACTCAGAACATGGCCTCACCCAGTTACTGTCCCCAGACCACTCCCCTTACTTCTAGATAGATGTGTTTCTCCTGTTCTTTAGTGCCACCTAAATGGAATTGTCGGTGTGTCCTCTATCTTGTCTGCCGTATTTCACTCAAAATCACTTCTGTGTGGTTCATCCTTGCTGTTGTGTGTGGCTGCAGACCATCTGGTCTCATGGCTTTATGGCATTCCATTGTGTAAATATACTGCCATCAATTTATCCACCCTACTGGTAGTGAGCATTTGGACAGTTTCCAGTTTGAGGCTACTCTGAAGACTGTTGCAGTGGACAATTACGGATGTGCCTTTTGTGTTTCCATTAGGGACAAAGCTAGGAGTGGAATTGCCAGCCCTACTGTGTGTCCATGTTCAGCCTCAGCAGATCTGCCAGGCAGTTTTCCAAGCTGGTTGTACCGATTTCCACTCCCACCAGCAGCATGTGACAATTCCAGTTGCTCCTTGTCCTCACCACCCCTGGGTATCTTGGGAGGCTTTTCATTTGACTCAAAGCGTGACATACAAGGAGATGGATTCCCAAAAAGAAATCCAAGGAAGGCATGGGGACCAAAAGCCCAATCCTGGTCAGGACTGAGTCCCCAACCTGAAAACTTTCTTCCCTTTTATCATCAGAGCTGAACATAGTGGGAAAGAACCACATCCCCCTCTTTATAAATGGGTGTGCCCTGCCTGGGAAGGGCTTGGGGACATTCTTGGCTCCAGTGAGTTGATGGGTTGAGGGGCTGCTGTAAAGGAAACCAGCATCCTCCTGGAGGTGTCTGATGAGGCCCATTTGCAGCTGAGTCTCCGCGGGTATGTTTTCATTCGAAGCCCGGCTTTGTTGCAAAACGTTGTGTGGATCCCAGATGCCTTGGCAGTTGGTGCTGAAAAAATGTGTCAACAAACGTGTGAGACACATTCACAGTGTCAACTGCCTCCGGAGGCAGAAGCGTCCCCAACAATATGTGACGTCAAAGCCCAAGGATTTTGATTTCCAGGGATGGCACCACCCTGTCCCAGTCAGGAATCTCCCCACCCACCTCTAAACTTTCACCTCTCACCTAGTCAGGGACTGGTTCCCACACCTATGTCTCCCACTTGGATTTTAGCAGCAGACTCTCTCCATCGATCCCTCCCACCTCCGTCCTCATCTCCAACCTGCGCTGTGCATGGAACCCTCACCCAGTACCCACTGCCTTCAGGATGCCTCCCAAACCCTTCCACTTCAAATGCAAAGCCCTTGCTGATCTGGCTCCTGCTTTCTTCTTCAGCCTTATTTCTTGACAATTGTTCTTTCCCCAGTTATGGGCTGAGTACCTACTATGTGCCAGGCACTGTTCTCAGTCCTGGATTTGACAGTGAGATCATGGTCTTGATTGCAGTCTGTGCTGAGTCATTCTGCAGAGGAGCTGAGTTTGGAGCTTGGTGAAAGGAGCACCCTGCCTCAGGTACAGAAGTGTCATCCAACTGCCATAGCTGAAAGGTTACGTTTCCTGCAGTGTGCACCCAGGCATCGGGCTGGGGGACCTCTGGCTGACATCTTGAGTCTTCCAAATCTTTGGCTGGAGATGTGCTCAGGTGGTGGTTGTGGTATTTTACCTGTCCAGGGCAGGTTCCTGCCAGGTCATCAATGTCCCAAGAAGGGACTAATCAACGTTTCTGTACCCCAGCAACATCACCCTGAAACTCTAACATAATTACTTTATGTGACTGCAAAAAACAAAACCATGTCCCCTAAATCTAATATATCTAATATCTAATATCAGTTCCAATTTCTTATGTCACCAGGACCATCTCGTTACATTGCCCACAAACTATACAATGATTGTTGGACTTTGCACATGCACAGTCATGTTGCAATGAATGGCAACTGCAATCTGACATCCCCACACTTGGGGTGGACATATCACAGCAGGCCTGGCCAGGTAAGGCACATACCATCCTGTGACCTCCAGGCATTCCCACCTGCATAGTTCTGTGTCGGGTCCGCTGCTGGCCGACCCGAACAGCCCTAGCCTCATTCTTTTTGGTGGGCAAGCAAATGGCCCGGGATTCCTCTTTCCCTCCTGTCCCCTTTGGAAGGAGACGGGGGAAGAGAGCTGTGAAGAGTGGTGAGCACACCGCCGGCCCCAACCAGCCCAGTTAAAGGACACTCAGACGTGGTGGGGATTCTGTGGAGCAGTTCCGTTTATTATCACACAAGCACTTGCTTTTAAAGGCAAATGGGGAAGGCAGGTTTTTTACATCCTCCAATTAGCTTAAGGGTTAAGGGCATGCATCCTGTCTCAATGCCTAGCTATTGCAATCACGCAGTGTTCATGAGCGCGGCCAATAAGGGCTAAGGCAAGGTTCCCGCAGACACTCCCACCCTACTTCCTCCCAGCGCCACTCCCACCCTACTTCCTCCCAGCGCCGTCTTAGGCTGCCACGTTAATCCACTTGGAATGTCACAGGTGGCGTTAGTTTTTAAAGCCCGACAGTTCTGCCCTTTAAGACTGAGCTCCTACGTCCCCTGTGTGCCATGTCGTCTCACTGCCTCCTTACAAGCACCTGGCGAGGGGTCCCCATTTTGGCAGATGAGGACCCTGAAGCTCAGAGAGGTTAAGTGACTTGCCCAGGATTGCATAGCTACTTAAACCAAAGACCATTCTCTTCACGCTGCACTTTAAGACTGCTGAGCTGATGGCAAGGATTCTAGAAACCTGTCCTCATTTGATTCTGCTACTCAATGTCCCAGATATCTTCTGTTCTTAATGTCATGCTTTGTCGAGCAAGAACACCACCCCCACATCTTTCCTGGACCCAGATAGGCAGTCAAGCTGCCAGCCAGCCTGGCACCCCCTGCTGTGAGCCACTTTCCCGTGTTGCCTGTGACAGCAGTCTGTTTCTACCCTGATCTCATGATATGCCTGATTTCTCAGAAGCCCCACAGCAGCTCACAGACAGCAGGAAATGCTCCTTAAGGACCCCTGCAGGCAAGCCAAGGTCTCCGGCTTGTGCCAAGCAAACTCATATCCAGCATTAACATTTTTTGGATGGAGGCTGCCTGGAGTGTCTGATGAATGGCATCTGAAGTCAACAAACCAGGGTCTAAGTCATGGTTCTCTTCCTATCTTTGTGACTCAGGGCAAGTTGCTTGACCTCTCTGGTCCTGTTTCCCCAACTTTACATTGAGGAGGCTCAACTTCCCCCACTACTTATCCTAGAGCCACCTGGGTGGTCACAAAGCAGAGAAAACAACAGAGGTATGAATCTGTCACAATTTCTAGCGGCCCAAGCCAAGTCGCAAAGCCACCAGGAAAATGATCTTTGGGGACCTCTCTGTCCTTGGGTTTCCCCCTATGC